GGGCTCAGCATTCCAGCTCTGCACCTCTGTGTGTGTGTGTGTGTGTGTGTGTGTTTGCGCCAATATACATGTATGTGTGTTGGCGTCCTAAGCTAGGACCGCAGAGAAATTAATCATTAGCGAAATTACCTCCTGTCCCCCCACCCTCATCCCTACCATTATCAATAAACCAGCACCCTGAGAATGGGCAAACACTTGTTCACTCCTCACTCTCTCACACACACTCATAAACACACACACACACACACACACACACACTGTTGTCATCCTTTCCTCCTCTCGTCCCGCTGTCTTTGGCAAAATGAGAGATTCGCTTGTTTCCTGAACCACCCAATTCTTCTTTTTTTTCCCTTTTTTTTTAAACCCCTCCCATCTAACAACCGTTGCCATGGCATTTAACAAATTATTGCAATTACCCTCGTCATGCGGGTCGCCCCTGGAAACGGGCTGAGGGGCAAGAGAAGGAAGGGGGAGGGAGAGAGAGAGAAAGGGTGAATGAAGACCAGAGAAGGTGATAATCCTGTTTTGAACAAAAGGTCAAATTGTTGAATAGAGAAGCTTTGATTAAGCGGAGGAGGTACAAAGTGGAACCGTTTGAGCTCTATTCAGTGTGTGTGTGTGTGTGTGTGTGAGAGAGAGAGTATGTTTGTGAAGTAGACCGATTTAAGGTCTATTCACTTTAGAGCTGGAAGTGTTGACTGCTGAAGCACAAAAAAACTTAGAGCTCTTTCTAGTGTTAGTGTGTGTGTGTGTGGCAGGTGGATTCCTCTGGTACAGGAGTCATGTCAAAGTCTCCTCTACTAACATTAACAAAAAAGATGAAACAATTTATAGATTAGCAGATTGACAGAACTTTTTTGACGATTAAGTCATTTTTTAATTTCACCAGTTTTTTATTCTCAAATGTGAATATTTGCAATTTGAAGACCTCAGCTTGGGCTTTTGGAATTGTGAAGGACATTTCAAACTAATTTCTCACCCTTAGTAGACTAAACGATTAATCAATTAATTGAGAAAATTATTATTAAGATTATTGATAATGAAAATGAACATTCGATGCACCCCGATTAACAATACCTTACCCAGAAATACTAAAAGAAGTTCAGACAAGGACTAACTAATGATATTTTTCTGAATCTGTTAATCTTTTAGTCACTAAAATGTAAAAAAAATAGTGAAAAATGCCCATTGAAACTTCCCAGAGCCAAATATGTCTTGAGCATAACTTTA